TTCCAAGATTTTCCACAAGACTTCTGTGCAAATCTTGGATCTTGGTCTTGGTATTTCCAAGATTTTCCAAATCTTGGATCTTGGTCTTGGTATTTCCAAGATTTTCCACAAGACTTCTGTGCAAATCTTGGATCTTGGTATTGGGCAGGAATGCATTCTGAATGCATTGAACGCATTCTGACTGCATTCCTTCCAAAGTGGACAAAGAAGTCATGCAACCTACGTGCACAAATATATATATATATATATGGTACCCCCAAAAAAAAGAAGGATCAAAAGGCAACCCAAAATAGACACAAAATATTGCAAATACCAGCAAAAGTGATGTGAACATAGGTTTTTTTTTGGGGGGGGGTACCATATATGTATATATATATATATTAAAAAACAACATACATTACAAAGATTAAAGGCTACATCATCATGTCACGTCAAGGTTGCTTTGCTGACCGTTGATACCTTGCAGAGTGTGTTCTAAGATTACCTGATAGTCGGAACCTATGCATTTGTTTCATTCCAACGCATGACCCATGAACTCACACGAAATATTCTATTGAGCCACCCACCATCAAAGGAGTAGAATAAACATACCTTTTGTACTTTCTAGGGGGTGCAGTGTCCAAATTGACCTGTGTCTCTCTAATACACCGCCACAAACCCATCTTTTCACTGGAGGAAAACCTCCCAGCCCCATGGTCCACACCGGCGTTCCAGACAAAACACCTTGAACACCCGATTACCGATTCTTGCTATATTTTGGCAGATTACTGTATCTGCACTCGCACAAAGCAACATCCAGGTCCACGTTGTTCAAATTTGTAGACCTATCAGAATTGGTGTAAGGGATTGTAAGGGAATATTTACAGGAAACCCCTAGTTTTGAGGGTGGAAAACCAGGATTTCCTGTAAATATGTACCTTCAACCAATCCATACCAATCCGCAGATCTGACTGAGTACGTGCGCTGGACTTCCACCACCTGTTTCAGCATCTTAGGTGCTGGTGACCCCGCAGCCATCTGCGTTGCAGGTGATCTCTGTCATCCCCTGAGCAGTGCACCAGGTCAGAAAAGAACGAACAAAACATAAACGGAGTGATCTACTGGTGTCACAAGGATGATCAAGGATGTCACAAGGATGATGAGTAGAATATACGCCTATACGGAATGGCCTGGAGTCCTGGAGAATAAAACAAACAAAACAACTCAAACAGCTAAGATGGGGCCCCTTTGCACATCCAGTTCTTTCGGTAGACAGACCATGCCGTCTTCGGCAGGCCCAGGCATCGAAGGACATACCGTAGACATACCTACTTGGCCTGACGGGTGTCATGTGGCGTCATGTGGATATAAGATATCCCAGACACTCCATGTATGCCATATTTGCCTACATTGGGGTGGTTTTAGGGGTCAATGTTGCGGCATACATGGCAGTCCCAAACAGGTCGCGTCTGGGCATTCAAACTCCCATGGAAGTGGAGTTCACCACGCTGGCCGCTGCGAGGAAACACTGATCATCCTTATGCCGCCCATGCCGCCCATGGAGCGCCCATGACTTCAGGGAGGGCACCCCAAAAAGAACCTCCCCAAACCGGGGGCATCGGCTTCCGTCTTCAGGTTCTTTCGTTTCCACTCCTGGGCCCGATCGGTTGGCCCTCGGGAAAGCGCGGGAACCGCCCCGGTAGGAAAGCACGGTAGGAAAGCACGATGGATCGAAAGAACGGTCCTCACCTGCTGATCAACTCTGAAAAGAGGAGGAAGCGTTAAAGAACCCATGGTTCATACAACCCAACTGGATGGAGAATTCCATGCCTGGCGGCCAGGCTGAAGCAAAAGCTGTGTCTGGAGGATTCTGGAGGACTCTTTCAAGTCATGGCGAGGCACATGGGAGATGTCCAGCGGCAAAGGGTTCGCCTGGAAACTCGCGGCACCTCAGCCCCCGGCGACCGTTTTCCGGTCACGACGGCCGGACACCACGGCGGAACCGGTGGTTTCACGACGACCATGGGGCACTCACCAAAACCGGCCACGCGGAACCCCCAAAGGCGAGCCTGCGACTCGCTTGGTCTCCACCCTCGTTCCCACAGAGTCTCGCCCTCGACCTCCTCCCGAGTCCCGGATCGGAGGGTTCGAAGCGTCCAGGGTCCCGAAGCGTCGGTCGAAGCCAACCCAAGAGGCAATGGAGCCGGATCTTGGAGACGGCCCATGGGTCGTTCGCGCCCCCTTGATGCAACCTCGACCGCCGAGGTTGAACCGCGGGTTAGGGACGTGTAGATCCGATCTTGACGAGGCAACATGTTGGAAGATGAGAACTTCCTAGCCCCCCCAAGTGGGGAGGCCAATAGATCCACATGCTGCGAGCTGGACTCAAAGCGTTCAATTACCCAGGCTTGTGCCATTCACCCGCAAAAGCCTCGCATTGGATTGACAAGAGGATAAATCACATGAGGTTTGTTGCAGCACGGGAAATCCTGACATCGTGCAAGTTTGATGTGTGTGTGTGTTTTTGCACGCGATGTCTACTTCTGTGAGCTGCGTTCGGAAACGTGGTTGTTTGTGTCAGGCTTTTTTCCCGTCTCGGGCAGTAAGTGGCACGAGAGCGTACCGCGGGGCTTGACGTTGGTCCCATTTGTTGCACCCCCATTTTTAGAACGTCAAAGAGGAACGGAAAGACATATGATAGTCGTGGTGCAGACTGTTAGAGTTGGCTTTTAGGTTTGCAGACTTGCACAACTGTTTTTGTAACATATGATAATTGCATATAATTGCCGAGTTCCACTGAAGAAAAAACATTGTTCCTGTCGGTCCGGTTCGCTCAAGGAAAGCAGCCCTGTTCAAACAAAATATACTAAACACAGGTGGCTGAAGAGGCACGCAGCATCACATCATTGCTGTTTCTGCTGCTGCTGTTCCTGTGATTGTTGGGGCTGTTGTTCTTGCAGTTATCTTATGTTATCTTTGCTGTTCTAATTGCTGTTCTTCTTGTTAGCCGCTGGCCTCCTGGCCGCGTTGCTGGTCTTCGCCTTCTCCTCTTCTTCTTGCCGTGGCTCTTCTTGGCTAATAGCTACTGCAGAAGCTGCAGCAGTCTTCGTGTCTCTCCAACTTGGCTGGCTGCAGCAGTCAGCCACTGAATTGACGCCTACAAAGTCACCACCCAATCCTAGTAATGTTGGATGCTCTTTGCTGCATAGTAAATGGATCCTCCAGCAATGTTCAAAAGTCATTCAGCCACCCATGTTTGTTTTAAGGGTCCTCTGTTGTGCTGTTTGTTTTTGGATATTAATATGTTGTTATTACTATTTGAGCTATTTATATCTCCTTCTGAACCCTGTCCACCTGCACCGCCCACCCCTTCCCAAGGAAGCAGCAAGCAACACAACACACAAAATAAGTCTCTTCCTGAGATCTTAATACAAACCACGAAGCCAATGGCTGGCTTGCTGGGACAATTGAATACAACAATATCACTTGCAAAAGGACTCCTCCCAGGACTCCAGAGTTGTTTTGCTGGTAGCTTTATCATAGAGAGTCTCCCATGTCTTCTTTAGGTGGGGGGGGGCAATCCCTTTTGCCAAAATCAGGATCCAATCCGTAAAACAGGATCTCAAACCCATCCACCAGGACCAAAGGTTCCGTCCGACCTTCCGAGTGGCTGGATTCTGGAGACCTTCCGGTTCCCTTGCAGGTACAACAGGATGGACTGCCCGTCCTGCGGTTTTCGGTGGGTTAGCTGGTGGCTTAGCTGCCTACATGTGTACAACGCGTTGTACGGTGGTGCGTCGTTTTCGAAGAAGAAATGTATTCGTCTCACTTTCGTGGAGTAATTAGACATGTAGTTTTTTCCGACATTGATTCACAAGTGGTCGCGACTGTGTATTATATATACCGGTCGTTGTCGTGTCTTGTGGTCATATTGCATGTTTTGTGACATACCTGTTGTATGTACAAACCCAACCCTAGGGTACCCCACATATGTGGAAGGACTTTTAGGGGCGTAACGTGGACGTGTCCGCAAGTTTGTGTGTGGTGTGTCGTTGTCTTTTTTCATTTATTTGTTCCCTGGTATTCTTGTGGCTTCAACTTCTTTGCTACATATAGCTGTATAGCGGGCTACTAGTATAGGTATGTATCTACATACAGCCATGGAGATGGATGCTTTTTTCACATACAGCTTCCATGGTGAACGTCCTGGGGAGACCTGCCTCTTTTCCTGAAGGCTTCTTGAGATGAATGAGGAATCAAAGAAGACAAGCATGGCGCACTCTCTGAATTTCTTGCTCTCTTTCTCTCTTTCTCTCTCTCTCTCTCTCGCTCTATCGACGTGGTGGTGTGAACCTCTGGCAAATGTCCATCTGTCCCTAGTTACTTGGCCGCTGGCAGCGTTGACTTAAATTCATTATGCTTGGGCGGTCCTGAGTCATATATATATATACACTATTATACACTGTACACCTAATTCGCTGACAGTGGCACTTGGTACTTGGTGATAGGATAGGTTAGGATAGTCACATAGCATGGCCTGACCTCCGACTGGGATGTCTTGCTACCTCAACCAGTTCGCCAAATGCCAGGTATGCAACGGTGTCAACAGGCGCGAGGCACGAGTCAAATTGGACTGGTTGCAGCCTCTGCGGCACCAGCACTTGCGCCATCTCTTCTACTCTCTCTCTCTCTCTGTGGTGGGCATGACTCATCACGGAGTCGTCTGTGGTGCACTCACTTCGAGAGAGGCGAAATGATGCGAAGAGTCAGGGGGTTTAAGTTGACGGGCAAGTGAAATGGAAGAGATTTGAGTCTGAAGAGCCAACACGGCGTGTTTGCAAGATCAAGCACAAGTTGGCGAAAAAGAAGGCATGACCCCGCGAAATACAAAACATGGCGCCAACAAAGGGGGCGTGACACATGGCGCGAAAGCATGCGAAAGCCAACTTTTAATCTCCGAAAGCCACTCTTTTGGATCTTTCGATGTCCTAATCTTTCTCAGAATCTCGAGGCCTTTCCAAATTTAAAGGTTCCGCGAGTCAGAACCTGACTGAAGAGCCTAGCCTAGTGGCACTGCAGCGTTTCCATCAATAGGAAATCAATGGAAAAGCCCTTTTTTCGCGCGGACGGTGAGGACACAGTGCTCCACACAACCCATGTGTTGTCAACACGGGGAACAACGGTTCTATCCCTAGACCTCCATGTACGGTTGCCGGGATCTGGGATCCACACGGTTTATGAACGACTGCACTGCAGCACGATGAGGCAGGATGAGGCAGGATGGGCGGACTTCAATTTGCACAAATTGTAAATTGCCAAGGGTAATTACACAAATTGCTCGTCAATGGATGATGGATATCTGAATTTTTGGCATTGAGGAGTGGCCGATGTCTCCACAACAAAAGCCTTCCCCACAAGCCGAAGAAAATAGTATCATGCATGTCCCAACCTAATTTAAGATGATTTAAGTGGTGATTCACTTGGCCATCCATGCGGGGTTTACTACATTCCCTTTCAAGAAGGCAAAATGTTGCACAGCGATCAGCGATCTCCTTCTTTTCAGACTGCCAGCATCCGCAGCTCATGCCTTGAGAGGGCTTCGCTGTGGAGCATTGGAGGGCTTGCTCATACCATGGTTCCCAGATCAAGGATACCCTTGGCTAACTCAAAGCCTTGCCCTTCCATTTCTCTGGTGAATCCATTTCTTCGCATTGAACATGCCAGTATATGCCAGTCAAGCGTATCGGCAGTCAAACAAAGCCAAGCGAGTTGCCCTGGAGTCCAATCTGACGCAAGACCTACTTTCACATCCTGCAATCATCCCGTATAGATGTCATCCAACTGTTCCAACCACTCCGACTTCACATTCACAGAAAGAATCACTTCGTCATCGACGAAGTCTCATCCATAAACCCTTCGAAAAAGTACAGTACATTATTTGGATGCTGTTAGTCAAACTTATGACTTAGACATGTTTGGATAGTGCTGTCGTGCCAAAATCTCCAGCCTCATGTGCAAATGTGCAAATATAACTTCTATCACCTCTTGAAGGCGTGACCTAAAACATCCTAAAACATTGCGCCCACAATGGATCAGGGAGTCATTCCAGTTCTCCATAAACAGGGGCGAGAACAAGCAAGACATGTCCATGACTCATTGGGAATTCATCGAACACTTCAAGTGAATTCGGGCATTATCATATACACTCCATGAACAATGGAAGCAAAGGATTATATACTGGAAGTGCACAGGCTAAAACCTGGACTGTCATGGAAGCCAGCATCTGCCGAAGACATGGCAGCCACATGCAGCCACCCAAACAGCGGAGAGATATGAAATGAAAAAACTTGAAAAAAAAGTTTAAAGAGATATGAACGCAAACACATACAAAAAGCGGGAATGCACTGCACTGGATCGAACACCTCTTTGTAGGACACCGCATGTGCTGTTTGGTGTGCCACAATGATGGGATGGATATTTTTATCCGTGGCTGCTGTGATTGCCGGAGGGAGAGTAGTCGTATGATGAGTTGTTCAGTTGTCCCCAAAAAATAGACTGGATTCACAATCTCCAAGTATCTCTCTATTACATATCCCAGGGGATCCAGTTACCACTATAGCTGGCAGCCAGCTGGTTCGAAAGACCTCATATAGTGACACAGTGGTTACATGTGGTAACTAGGATCCACTGGCCATGTATTCTATATGTTTTGTTACCTTTCGTACTACCTTTCTTATAACCTCGCCACTGGGCTGACCATCGCTCTTTGACCACGCGGCCGATATCATGGTCGCCGGCCCAGAACGAGGTCAACGAGCCGTCCACCGCCTTGAAGGCTTCGTAGCCACCTGGCAGGGTGTGCGATGTCTGGCATCATCAGCCAACCAGCTGAAGATCAGCAGCACGAGCAAACCAGCAGCAGCGTGCAGCAGCCAGCAGCCAGCAACAAAGTATGCAGCAAACGAGCAACCAGCGAAGCAGGAGCAATCCTGCAGCAGCAAACCATGAGGTCCAGCAAAGGTATAGGAGGCAACAAAAGAAGTCAGTCGCTGAAGGAACATGGGTGGGAACACGCGTGAAAGACAACATGACCACGATGAAGCGGAGGAAAACTATAACAAGGAGCGATTATACTTCGTCAGAAAGAAGTGGGTGAAGGTGCATTGCTTGAAGTAGAGAGGTACATGAAATGGACGTGGACAAGCGCAAACGACGAATCCAATCAAACCAGCCATGGCACAAAGATTAAGGGAAAAATTTGGTACGTCTTCCGGGAAGAGCAAAATCCCTCCGCCCCAACCATCCGGATGTTTGAAGGATTGACCAACACCTTCAGCCATTTTGCTCTAAGTTCCATGTCAGAGGGCTGGTAGTAGGGCCGGTATGGTCTAGTGGCTCCGTTGAATGCGAGCAGACCCGGGTTGAAGCCGGCGGGAGGGCCACTACCCCACCCCTGCAGTTAAGGCAGTTACCAGTAGGGGGAGGATAATGAACAGAATATATAACTAACTTCAATGTCAAACCCTAACAAATGGGCTGCTGCCCAGGCGGCTGTCTTGGTCGTCGGAGGTGGCTGTCACATAAATCCTTGGTTTCAAGAATCCAATGGAAAAACGAACGTACACCCTCATCCAAAGGTTCCATGCAACCGCGCTTCTTTGAGACGCTGAGACGCCTCTTCCAGTCACCTTTCCAGAGTCTTGCAGAAGAGAGAAGTCAAGTTCGTTGCCTGCCTTCACTAGACTCTAGACTAGAGCAACAGTCGGACATCAGTCCATTCGCAGCGACCCCAAAATAGAACAATCAGGAATCTCCCTGGAACCTCCAACAGGTGTTTCCTAGTGCAACAAAATCACCCTCTTGGAGCGTTTCCCTGCTCCTTGGAAGTTATACCTCCGTCCCCATTCGGTCCCGAAATCGAATCGCCATTCTCGTCGTAAAGGAAGATTTCATAGAGATCCTGAGTCCAAAAGAATCAAAGACCAGACCGCAATGCCATCAGACACGTCACACAGACCGGATGCCAAGGGTGACAGTAACTCCCGATCATGAATATGTCGGGGGACTTCACGGCTGGTGGTGCCTGCAGAAGTTTTACGGCAAAAAAGCAGAGAAGGGAAGTGTTGCAATTGGAATGCCGGTTTCGCCTACAAAAGCAAAATTAGAAGAAGCAGCAGTTCTAAAAGGGGTGCCTATTTGGATCTATTGCAGGGAGTGCCGATTATCCACGCACTTAGGGGCTCAAAGGGGTGTGAAATTGTGGAGTAGCAGCAGCAGCAGCAGCAAGAAACTGCCGTACAGCAACTTTGATGGTCGACTGCTACATAGCGATGGCCTCCAACCAAGAAGTTTGTTGAGAAAACAAAAGCAGGGTGCTTTTTGATGAACCCATGTGCCTGCCAAGCTCACACAACAAGAAATAGATATATAAATATTTAATCTTGTCAACATGTCAGGGGCTCACAAAATGAAAGTACCTGAAAGATTCTGAAAAGTAACTATATACATACTCATACCTGAGAAGCTGCAAAACGAAAGCCAGCGTTTTTTGTCCACGAGCACGTTGTGAAGAGAGATAAGAAAAGTGCAGCGGTAGCTCCCGGTAGCTACCCTGGGTCCGCTACCCTGGGTCCGCGCGTGCGCGCGCCTTGCTGGCTCCCGTTCCAGCAAGGCGCGCGCACGCGCGCGGAACTAGGGCAGCTACAAGGCAGTTGCCAGGTATAGCACTTCAATTTCCCTTCCCGTCAACCGCTATCGTGACAAACGTGCAGCAATCCACGTACCCACGGTAGCTACAATTCAGTTACCAGGTAGAGCACTTCAAGTTCCCTTTCCGTCAACCGCTCGATAACCTTTAGAAACGCGCAGCAATCCACAACTTTGAAGTCTCATTCATGCTTTGAACTTGTATAGGTGTGTAAGAGGTATAGCCGTAAAGAAAAATAGCATGTATACGGACCCAGGGTAGCTACAATTCAGTTGCCAGGTCTAGCACGTCAATATACGTTAGTTTCCCTTTGGGTCAACCGCTGCAATTCAGATGCCAGGTATAGCACTTCAATTTCCCTTTCCGTCAACCGCTAGATAACCTGGAGAAACGTGCAGCAATCCACGGATTTGAAGTCTCATTACTGCTTTAAACTTATATGTGTGTAGGAGGTTATGCATTCACAGCTGCACGAAGCTACAACACATCGGCCTCGGTAAAACTACACCTTACCATGCAGATGATGCAAATGAAGAAAAATACATCTCTTACATCACCAGCCGCTCAAAAATCACAAAAAATCACCTCCAACACAACCTCCAAAACCTTGCTTCCGTGCACCCCTAAACACCACGTAATTTCGAGTTTGCGTAGTGCTCTCTCGGGCCAGCCCCCGCAGACTCACTTCGTTCGCCAAACACAACTCAGCTGGCGCCTTCTACGAAGGCTGGCTTTTGTAATATATATATATATATATAAGTGGGCCTACACAACAGTACAGAATCTACATGAACCTACATTTGACCCTTGCGGTGGTTGGTCCTCATCGGGACAGTCCACAAGTTGTTTCTGGAAGGCCATTCTTTGTTGGAAAAGCCTTCCAGAGTGCCATCGAAGGCTTCTGCTGTCAACCGTGTTCGGGCACCTTGTTTTTTCCCCAAACAGTTTACTGTTGGGGCTCTATCTTAGAAGAAAGAAGGGCTGGCCACACTCACTGGCCGCGCCCCTGAGGTCTGTGGCCGAATCGGACGCCCGCGAAAGAAGCGGGTTCGCGTAGGGGCCCGTCTCATACTGTTGATAGATGGGGTGCCCGATAGTGTGCCTGTGAGACGCATTCTACATTCTCAATGTTTCAATGAACACGCTCAACAGCTGGAGAGGAGTGTGACCGAACAAATTCTTGGGGGGAAGGTAGGGCGTACCAAGAAATCGTCTTTGATTAACATTGGTCCAAACGAGTGGTTTTGAAACCGTTTGAGGACTATGCTGGGGTATATAACTCGCGCGACAACGTTCCACACTTTCCTAGTATACCACGTGACGAGCAAGGGATTTGTAAAAAAAACAAATTGGCATGATGTTCCACAAATTCTGTCACTCACTAGACTAGACGGATCTAGACGGTAGTATGACGGTGGTATGTATGTACACAAATCCACCAACACTCTTTTTCTCCTTTATGATTATATAAGGACATGCATGTTCTTAAACAGCAACGGCCATACACCGAGGTCGGACAATCGAAACCGGTCATCGGGTCCTCGGTCGTGGCTTCTTGTTCCTAGTACTCTAGTAGGAAGGCCAGGGGCCCCTAGTAGCGTCCTTGTTTGACCTTCAGATTCAGGTCCATTCCAAACTCCACAGGAACGCTCAGTTGAGATCAGGAAACAAATATTTGCCTCCATGGTTGGCTAAAGAATAAACATTACAAGAATGGAAGGCTGGCAATGCACAGACCGGCCCTACTCAAGTATTAAAATCAGACCTTGACCCCGTGCAAGCAATCACAGACTGGGAAAACATGCATTACTAAATTCCTGGCCTGAGATACCATGTGGTCCTCAATTTTGCTGGTATGTTATTCCAACATTATGTTTAAAATCATTGTGCCAAGGGTTAATCTTTTTGGGTAGCAAGTTTTGGGCGTCGTATTTTTTTCTGGGCGCAGGCGAAAAACAAAAAAAACATTCATATTTTTTCCTGGGGTTGACCCCTAGGATTTTAATATTGATTATTTAACAGGTATCAATAAGCATCAGAACCTTGAGAACGGTACTTCCCTCTTTTTGGTTGCATTTGTGTCTTAAGGTTGCTATTTCAGGTTCTGCTTATTAAAAAAAAAGTACGGTACATTCATAACAAGCATTGAAACAAATCGAACCTTCAGAAGTGAGCCGCCTTCAGACGCCTGGTCGGCCTGTTGCTGCGTTTCTCGGTCTCATGTCCCACATGCCGTTGGTGCCAGGTGTCCCAACTGTCAGTGCAGCCATCAGAAGAGATACCATTGCCGTTGCCAATAATCAAATACCTCGGCTTTCCAGGTGTTTTTCCCCCACCGACTCGTGATCTCGTGGCCATAATTCCAAAACACTCGTCCGCTCGGCCGGCATCATCCGGCCTCCCTGTTCCAGTCCTCTTCGTCCGAATTCGGCCGGAATCGGTTCCGAGGAAGGCCGAGAGAGGCCGAACTGCTCACCGAGGTGCTGCGTGCCGAGGTAGGGATTGCAGTCCTCGACGGGCTCATCGGACCGAGAGTCGGACGGGACCGTTTTCGAGTGAAGGCAGAGTCATTTCCGTCTTCTGCCACCGCACGTTCCAAGCACAGAAACTCCTTGGAACTAACATGGAAGTATTGGAAGTGGATAAAGAACTGCTTGTAGAGGAAAGCTGTATTCTAAGGGACCATGTTCATCCATTTTCCACTTCCATGTTAGTTCTGGAGCGCGTGGATTGTGTGTACCTGGCACATATACGTGCCGAACACTGCTGATTCACTCGTCCAGCTGGCTTCTTCCACTTACAGACACTCTGGAGACCGACCAGTTGACCTACCTGGTGTCGGTGGTGAAAACGACGGAGCAGGGCCTCGCGACGGAGCAGGCTTCACGACCCCATCCCCACATGCGGTAGAGAGGATATCGAACGAAGCCTCGAGGCATCGGACGACATGTCCAGGCTGATTGACCTTCGCTGGTGCCACCAGAACCGGCCACCATGGCATCACTCAGTTTTACGAACGCCAAACAAGTGAAGCACCGTGCGCACAGCTGCGCGCTTGATGGTCTTGTTTTTGGTCTGGCCACCACCTCGATCTATTGGTCATGGTGGCTAAGATTGGCTGCGGCTAAGCATCATAGGTCATGTTGGACGGGTCAAGGCTGGAGGTCTGCAGTGCAGGCGTGGTGGAGCTACCTGAGGACGGGAACGCAAGGGGACGCTGCAGGTGAAAAACAATCAACATGTAGCTTTAGGATGTATTGAACCACTACAAGCAGACGTAAGTGGAACACCAACTACTAGCATGGTTCGGCAAACCCTCAACCAGGTGGCTTGTGTTTCATGATCATGCTCAGCCCTGCGGCCGTTGCGCTGAGCAGCTAGTGATAGCTTGGAACTAAAGGTCCAGCCTGAGCCCTGACCGATCCTGGACCCCCCAGTTCGATGTCCAAAGACTCAAGTGAGGAGCCAAATCCACCGTTCCTGGCACTTTTCGACCAATCTTCTATGGGGTTCCTCACCCCTCCCAAACCTCCCACGCTCCGCCAATCAATCTTCCAGGTGGCTCAGAAACAGCTCCCCATCGCCTAAGGCCATGGGAAGCAGGGCGGCCCAAAGCTTGCGCATGCTGTCGACGCTCGCCGAATGGGTGGACAGGCCGTTAAAACAGGCTGCGCGGCGGCGGCGGAACTGTGGAAACGGCGGCGCAACGAACCCACATCGAAAGGGCTCCTTTTTGCAACAACTTTGGAAGGTGTGAAATTTGGGCGCAGGAGTAGACCACTGGGAAATGATCATCAGCCTCAAGAAGAGACTACATCACCCGAGCCTTCTCCAAGCACCTCGTGCAAGGTCTGAAGCCAACCGCGTAACCTGGCCTTTGGCCCTCCAAGAACAAAAAGTAACAATAAAAACAAACGCTCCAATTCCCCAACCAGATTCAACACGTGTATGGCTTTGTTTGCCTGAAGTGTAGAACCTTGACTAATGATATACCCCCTGAAGAGTTTTTACAATCCAAATGGACGCCCATTAATCAAGATTCTAAATTATGGATTGGGGTGATGTAGTTCCAGGGATCAGTGCAGGGATATAGTAGTTCTATTTATAACTACAATAGTGATATGTAGTGATAAACCATGCACAAACAAGCTCTATTCATTCCATATACCTTGGATTTCTTCCAAACCCCTCCATTGGAGACCTGCATCCGCCCTGGGAATCCGCCCGGTCTTGGGGCGCCGAGCAAATCACTTGCCCTCGGCCGAAGACCAAGCGCTGCCACCCGGTGACCAAGTGAACGTCGTGCCCCATCGACCGCAGCTGCGCCTGCCCGAGAGCACGGACGGATGGCTCCATATAGCTCCATGGATCTGGTGGTCCTATATGCGGTATAGTAGTGTGTACATAAGTTACATATTTATACACATACAGTCAGTATACTAATCTATACTGTGTATATATGTATATATACATGGAGAGAGTCAATTAGATGTTCATGCCATTGCATACCTCTTGCATCGCTCCACTCCATCCTGCACTCTTGTGGCACAATCTGGAACAAAGGTGCCACGAGGTGCCGCGGGGTGCAGCAAATGACTGTGGATCATGGCAGGATACCTTCGTTGACCGCCTGAGCACGCCACCAAGGAGCGGTGTCTGGGAGTGATATCTACCTAGTAGCATGGTGCATCGCTACTAGCAAGGACGCTACGAACGTAGCCAAGTGCACTACTACTATATAGTAACGAAGAGCTACTATATAGTAGTAATGGTGTCGGGCGATTGCTACATGGTGGACCCAGAGCTCGAGGTTGGAACCCGCCTGCGTCTCTTCGGGCATCCCTTCCTCCAGCAGCAGCTGGGCCGCGCCGGCACTTGCAGCACCCAGCGCACTGTCCACACCTGTGGGGAAGATGTACACTCCCTGGAATCAACAGGACAAAGCGGGTGGTTTTCCATGGCTTTCCACGTAACCATAGTTCTTCCAGGGAGTGGTTTCTTCATCAACCAACACTGCTGGGACAAGGATCCCGAGCTGTACTGTACGCTCCGGAACTGGAGCTAGCAAATGTGCGCTCGGCTTAACAATGTTACAATACATTTTGGAAATCTACAACTATATAATCTACAGTATGTAAAATGGGTGTCAAAAACCCATTTCATAGAGGAAAGTGATGGTCGTTTCATAGAGCCTCATGCGCGGAGGGTGATCATAGTTAGCTTCTCCCAACCCACGCAGCCTTGCAGACAGAAGCGTGGCTGGTCCAAGGCCGCCTGTGGATCCAAGCCGTAGTCCGCCATGGCGCACAAGACCTGTCCACCATCGAAATACGATGAAATACGGCGCAGCTTAGTGAAACTTCTGGAGAAAGCTCATGGAAATGCGAAGGTATGAACAAATGATCAACATGCTCTGAGCTACCTGCATGTTCTCACATTTTCTGACCCACCTCCACGACCTCTGTTCCGGTCCCCACTTGGCCCGGATCTTGTTGCGGTGTCCACGTTCCCCCCCCCGTTGGCGACTCTGCCGCGCGAGCACGACCTGAAGGTGCCCCTGAGGTTGCATGAAGCCGCCCATGACGCCCAAAGTGCAGAACAAGTCCTTCGTCTCCTTCGGTCCGGTTCGGGCGGGATTGTCTCGAGGTCGGTCGGAAGGTGGAGACGTCAGGACGGTTGTTCCAAGGGAATGACTGAAAGGAAGAAAGTCTCTGGGGCGTCAGCATGCGAAACAACCAAGCTCAACTCACAACTGGAGTTCAAAACTCACCTGACACTCAGCCAGGCGATGTTTTTGCCTTACTGGTCACCAGCCAGTATGAAGGATTCTAAACCAAAGACTACCCCCTTAATGGACTTCATTGTTGGTTTTGCTTTGAATCCGACATGTTCACGAATCCGACCCCCGAAAGACGCGGTCGATGCGAAAAGGAGAGTCGACAAGCGGTGGGCATCTCGCCGGGCTCAGTGTCAAGCGGTTGGCTCAGTCAACTGGGAAGTCAAACCAGAGATGTCAACCAGGAGTCACGGAAAAGACGGGGTGTATTGTTATATAGAGGATAGAGGGTCCCCAGAACATCCACTCACTGGATGGGACGATGGTCCAACCACATCGGGCTCTTCTATCTCCTGAAGCCGTCGACAGAAGCTTCGCACCAAACGCGTGAGTCGCAGCAGCCCAGGTCCTCACGGGTCACCATGCCTGGGATGATCGTATGGTAGCAAAACTTGCCTCGGAATCGTGAGGCATGTCAGGCGTGGCCGAACGGGCCAACATGAAAGGTCCGCAAGTAGTCCGACTATGATCCTGGAGTAGAGGTGGAATCTGGAATGTGCAACAAACATGAACTACTTGCATGCACATTTGGATTCTCCCTGGCTGGTTCTGGGCGGTTGCAAACCACCAATTCAGGGGATGATAGTGGCTAAAGCTTTGCAAGTGTCTGCACCCAAGGAAGCATGTTTTGTTTGTGATTTCATGTTCATTCGGTTTAGGCTATTTAGGTGTTGACTTGTATTGACCTACACTCGGAGGAAACACACGCAAAAACTTTTTGGCAACATGGCCATCACATTTTCAGGGCTTGGGGAACCGTCCATGGTCGCTCCTGTTGGTCAGGGGGGGACCGAACATGGAGCTCTTCCTCAGTCCCAGTGACCCAAAGCCTTTTGGCTCCCTCCTGTGCATCACCTGCAATCTACACCAGCCACTCTGATGAGCACAGCACAGAAGTGGAAGACAAAAACCGGTTCGTTAAGGAAAGTAGTCTCCCAAGGAACCATGGCCATGCCACGTCACCACCATGTTACCATGTGTTCGTCAGAGCATAGGTCTTCGGTTTGTGGTAGAGGAATAGGTCTCGGCGGGTCCCCATGTCTCGGCGCGGTGGTGAAGAGGGTCAGTCGCCACCCGCAAAAAAAAGAAGGCATCATCTCTCCAACCCAGATGGAGGTGGAAAGCCCTCTGTTGGTTGAAGACATGTGCCGTCCAACCAAATGCACTTCCATATGTGAAAACGTGAGGCGGATGGAAGACATGAGGCCGGAAAATGTGCGTTTCCGAATCTGTCTCAGGACATTCCCTGGGATGTCACACATCCAAATAAGGACGGCTTCTGGAGTGTGGTTGTTCATTTGGGAATTTAGGGTACGGATTGTTGGACTCCTACACCCATCGCATCTGGCTACCCCAGCTCATTCGCTCCCTCATGCTCGCTCACAAGCTTCCTCACCGGTCTAGCTATTGGACTTGCACCCGTTGCATCCATCGGGCTGGCGCTCAAAACGTGCGCAAAAAAGTTAAAACGGCTGGTTAGAGGCTCCAAACGGCTTCCTTGATCCCTGGCCCTCTGGCTACTGCAATCCATCCCTCTGAGCTCCTCACTTGGCCCAAGGCAGTTGGGGTGCGATTTCTGCAGGATGAAGTTGTGCCCACCTGGGCGGGTCCAAGGGGGTGATTCGACGGGCTATCCTCGAACTCAGGTTTTCAAGTCAAGTGCATATTGTGTATAGAGTTATAAGTTATACTATATGTTTATTGTATATTATGTATATTATATATAGACACTAGGTAGATCTTGTTTTATGAGTGACACTGCTGGGAACGGATCCCCAAACCAACATAGTGACACTGATCTTCCTTGATCTTCCTTGGGACTATAGATCGATTGCTTGGTTTCAGTCCAAGCTTCCACCTGGTTTTCCTGGGAGGGGAGACTGGGCACAACCTTGGATCTGATCGAATGGTCGGATGTCACACATGTCACCCTTCGTCACCCTTTGGAGAGAACCACATCAGGTCGCCAATAGGACAACAGACGCAACAAAAACTATCCTCAAAAAGCGTCCTAGCACAGTCTATGCTAGAGCAAAGTTATCTTTCCAATGCCATCGTATCTTTCGGCTCTCCTTGTTTGTATTATATAGGTAGTGCTGGCCTGACATAAGGATGGTTTGTAGACAAGCTCTACACGCGCATATCATTAATTATCATTTATGGGAATTCATGTTTTATCACTGCTTGATCAATTGTCAGCATTCCTCACTTAAGATCCATGGCCCATGACATTCCCAATATTTATCAATGTTTTATGTTTCTATGTGGTCTTCCAAAGCAGGCATTCTTGTGGAACATCTCTCAAGGAACGGTACCAATTCACCGGCTCACTGGAGTGCCTCGCACTCAGTGCCGGCGTGCCTTTACACCCAGCGGCGATTCTGCAGGGAGAAGCCACAGCCATCCTGAGTGGTCTGAACGCATGGGGGGGGGGTTCAGCTGATGGCTGGAAGCCGCGGGCTCCGCCAGGCTGAGGGTGTGCCTCCAAACCCTGAGAGCTCTAAGGGCTGGGGCTACCTTGGGCGCCAAGGGTCCCCCCAGTTCCCTGCCGCAAGAAACGCCTTTTGATGGGTAAAGCAAGGTGTTTCACCCAGCTGACCCCGGCATACTCATGGTGCTGCCCAAGGAGCAGGCACGATGCCTGTGCCAAAACCCATGTAGTTGGAATTGATGAAGGAGCAAGCGTTCCCCCACTGGTCCACTGCCGCCAAATACACCTTAGAAGGAGGTGGCTCCGAGTCAGCGCGGCACTTGGGCAGGTCCTGCCACCTCGGGCAAATGGCCCAGTTGGGCAGATGGATTAACCCCACCAAAGGATTGAAAGAGTGTGGAAAGGTCTGTCAAACCCTCTGCAGATATGATAAGATAAGATCAACCAAAAGTTGATGTCTGAGAAAACCCAGACCACGTTCTATCTGCCATGCCCCCGTGCCCATGCCTCGGGCCTTTCCGACCGACCCCGGAAACCCCCCGAAAACCGGGTTCCTCGAGGTCGACGACCAAACCGAGGTGTGCCACGCAGCCGCGTTTCCACCGTTTGGTGGCACCGAACCATCTTCGGGGAAGCCCCCCGTTGAGTCCGTCCAAATCGATGGTTCGCTGGCGTGTGAATTCACGGTGGAAACATCCAAGTGAGGACCTTCCAAGTCCAGCCCATCGAAAGGAGGCCTTCCAAGTCTCGGTCTCGAGACCGGGCGCAGGTGCACGAGCTCGGCAGCGGTGGGTTGGAAGTCTTGTCCGGACTGGGGACTGGGAGCCTTTCGTTCTGCTCCAACATGAGCTCCAACATGGACTTCCTTCCCTTCTCACTCCAACACGGCAGCCTTTTCACTGCCTTTACCTCTCACGAGCTGCTAGGCTGCTTGGCTTTGCAAGGATCTGACTGCTAGGCCCTACTGGGGGCACTTGGGGTTGCACGTACAGATTCCGTCCGACAAAGGTTGAACTAAGTTCTCTTTTTGGGGTCCTTGAGGTTGAATCTTCGATCTTCCGGATCTTCCAAGGGTAGCTCTCTATACAGCAGCTTCCCAAGAACGAGTGCCGAAGGATTGTTGAATTGGTCTGCTTGAGGACCATCTTGAGGACCACTGGCAGAGACCGCTGTCGGTGTTGAGGACCGTGTGGTCTCTGCCAGTGGTCGTGCGAACGTCAAGCGTGGTCCCTTTCTGGCGTCCGCAGTCACACCTACACACACAAGGGACTCACGTGCAGTACTGACCCACGTATATTTTTTTCAAAACACCTGTGGGGGAACCAGTTGTTCCCGGACCGACTGCATTTCTTGCGAAAATGTGCAACATGTGCAACCATACAGCAGTTACCCCGTTCCAAAATGTGCAACCACCTCAGTAAGTTCACCCCTCTGATGCCATCCAAGGCCAGAAAGAATCGCGCGGCATGAGTGTGCTCACCTGGCCTCAGACAAAGACAGGGGCATGCGTCGAATGATATTCAATGCGCTGTGATGAACTTAGGGAGGAACTCTGACACCGTGGATCCTTGTTCTTGGTAGGTCCGCCCCTCCGGGCGGAAGGTTCCTGTCAGGCTGGACCTCGCACCCCCCCTGTCAGTGAAACAGGGTTGATCCTGATTGGGTTCTTGCTTAATTCATGGAATTTCATGGGCAGTCGGGTAGCCAGCCAATGGTCCTGTATAGTTTCGGTGGGGCGTGGCCACATTGGTCTAGATCAAAGAGCGACAATTGCGGCACCAAATTTACTCAAAGAATCTCAATAATGGGATCTGTGTCTGGAACGTAGTAGCACATCACATTACAGCATAAACGGACCGCATTTGGGTGTAAACATGTTTGACCTAAAACGGCCCCCACGGTCCCCACGGTGAGCAAATGTCCCAAGTTTCTTAAAACATATCGATTACCGTCGCAGGTCACCCGCGGCAGAGAAAAAAGCGATTAAACCGTTAGCGTGTATTGACCAACAAGCTCTTGGCTTGCTTGGTTGCAACTCCTGCGCACGCGTTTGAACCTGCGAACAGTACTCTAAGTATACGGATGTATGTATCTACAGGTAGTATTTTGTGTATGCATGTGTGAATATATTTTCCTGTGTTCGGTCGATTCCCTCCAACAGGTCACTGGCTTCGTTCCGACATCAAACCAAACCACCAACAACTTCCGGTGATACTAAAGGGCATCGCTACTAGGAGCAAGAAGTCTATGTTTATTGCTCTTTGATGTACCGGTACTGCACCCCCGAGAGCCTTCCACCCCCGCCGTGAGTCCAACCCGTCCAAGTCCGGTGCTCTTCGCCATGCCGCCGGTGTCATGGCCTGGAACGGACGCCAATCAGACCCGAAGTGACCCCATGGACCCACCAGGATGGTGCACAGTGGATGATGGTTTGGAGTGGGGTCGCACACCCACCAGGACTCATGTAGACTCCATGATGGTCACCCTGGTCCATGTTCCAAAACGACTCATAGAGTCTTGATTAATCAAATCCCCGGGCCCTTTGAGGTATATAAATATAAACCAATATAAAAACCTTTCCAGGTTTGGGGTTTGTGAATCAAGCGTCGGCATGTTTGGGATGTCAAAGCCGGCTCCAAGCACCACCCTAAGGCGGGGTCGTCGACCGGAGGTGTTTGGCACGCACTGACGACCGAGTCTCCGTGGACACCCCCCCTGGTCTGGTGAGCGAGCCCTGGTCTGGACAGGCAACGTTCTCAGACCATTTTGATGGTTCACAACCTTTTGAGATGTGTTGAAGGGTGTCAATTTACCGTGTTTAACGTGGCATGAGTCCTGGTAAAAATGATATCTTGGCCCAACGAAGCAAACGTGAAATACAGAGACTTCTGGCATTTTGTGTCCCCACAGGATACGTAGGCCGTTGAAAACAGGAGAAGGACCTTCCAAGAACGTAACAGGGTGATACGGGCAAGTAGCAAGCCATTCAAGCGGATCTTGATCACTTGGATCGTGTAGACATTTCTAGACGATCGATCTATGTGAGTGTGTTACACATTTGGGTGTCCTAATGTGTGGGGTGTGTGTGTGTGTGAGCGCATTTTCAGGACAGAGGACACCATGAACCCACAGATTCTGCATCGCCTTGCAATCGCCTTGTAAGGCAGATGGTAAAGCGCCATCTATGTCGCACCCCTCATGTTCGAGTCCAATTCCCAAGATCGAAGATGAACAACTTGATGAATTCATGAACGGAGGACCCCTTCTCTCAGGTAGGTTGGGTATCTACCAGGACTGTCTGTCTTAATGCAGTTTTGCGCTGTTCTACCAGCAATGTTCTTCTTTGCTTGTCCATGCCCGTCTCACTTTGCCTGGAAACTCTTCATGTCTTCTGCCTCGTTGAGAACATTGTGCGGTCCTGGATTCTGGCTTCCAATATTTTTCCCAACGAGACTTGGTGCCTGCCAGGTGAATCATGCTCAACAAATAGTACTGTAAAGTCCCCATCTTAGACCCCCCTCACTACCTTGGTTGCTCCAAGAAATCACAGCGCGGCAGCATTACTTTTAAACAATGTAATGTGTGTTGATGCGTTCCACCATTCTACAATTGAACTTCAACCATTGGAGACTCGGCATCCCGCCCTGACCCGGTACATTGCATACGAGTGGCTGAACCGCAGCAGCCTCCTTCTCCTTCCGCGGGACCAGGTAAAGCAAAGGCACATAGACCGGGCATGCAGCGGCATAAACCAAAGAAGTGATGAAGAAGGTGTACCTGGAGCCCATGTCGCATGCAGAACTGGACCAGCAAACGCCTGGTTGCTTTTTCAGGAGCCCCGGAAAAAATCCTTGATCAATCATGAACAATCACCCCGGAACTTACACCTTTACACATAGCCACATAGCACAAACCGCCCCAATCAAAATAGATCAAAATAGCAAGGCTGCAGCCACAGCCGGGAATTTTCTCGAACAAACCACCTGACATTGTTTGACGATCCTTTGACTGATTGCTTCAAGAGCGGCCTCAGAGCGTTCCTGGCCCCAAATCCATTCAGCAGCCCCTCCACCCCAAACCACACTCTGTGCACCGATAGTCGTGCTGGTCCGACAGGAAGCCGCCTAAGAAGGCGGAGCCACTCCAGGTCATGGAGGTCAAGCTGTTCCTGGGTCTGTGCGGAGCAAGTCGACGTGCGACCCATCCACTCATCCAGGTCGGTGCGACCAGGTCAGGTGCGACCCATCCACTCAGGTGCGACCATCACGTAGTGGAGCGCAACAAATGCAAACATACTCGAGTTAGATGTGCCATCGAGACGTCTCTGCGTCGAGAACGCGTCGAGAATCGTTCGGTCGAGAAGCGTCCGACATTTGATGGACACTTGGAATTCATCAACACCTCTCCTTGTACACGCGGGAAGATTCACATGGAACCTGAAAACAAGTGGGTTGTAGAGGAAAATAGCCTTCCAAAGGTCCATTTTCAGGTTCCATGTTAGTTTTCGGGAGTGTAAAACCTCTTCAGATGAGGGGTCTTATGAATCAAGAGCCTACATTATCAACAATGCCCATGGATGTCCAGAATTTTCTCGTGAATTTGGATGCTGGCGGGGTCTGTTGGTGTATTTGGGCATGGCCTATGGGATTGAAATGCCACCTGCAAGTGAAGCCGTGTTGCCCGCAACGCTTGAAGGATGTGTCCGCGGCAACTGTGTAGCCAGAGGGTGAAGTATCGAGCGTTTTGGACATGCTTCAAGCATGTGCTCGGGAATGGTGTTGCATCATTTTGGGAATGTTTTGGGAATGTGTGTAAAACGGTCCTTTTTACTTAAGGAGGACTCTGAGACTCTGAAACCATGCTGACATCTGGGCAGTTGATACTCTAAGACAGGCCATAAAATTGGACTCTCTGAAAGATTTGGAAAGTAATGTGGAATCTGATTGCCTTGAATGTGTCTGTCTTGCCAAACCGGCGAGATGGGAGAGCAAAACATGAAATGCAATATGTCTGTCAAGTTGTCCTGAATCTGATTTATTGATGTACCTATATCATGCAGTCCGGCACGGAAATTGTGTACAGGGACTCGGGCTATGACTATCGTATGCAGGATCTCGAATCTCAATTAAGACTTTGAGCACATAACAAGCATCATGACTTTCCTAAACTAAACCTTCTCGCGAACATCTATCTATCCATGTCAATGTGATTGGCTGCCGCACATGAGGTCAACAAAAGGTTCATCCAGGAAAGCATCGATCCCCACAGAGGGCGTACGGATGTGGCCCCGGGACCCCATCCGGCGTCACCCATCGATCCGGGCGTCACTGCATTCCACATTCCCCTCTGCGAGGATGGGGTGAAGTCCATGAGAATGGAGCGGTCAATGGGATAGGTGCCTTGGACATCGCACGCGCACTGGAACGCTGCGTCAACCACACGGCGGCAAAAGGCAACAAAGGTGGGATCCATCGAAGAAGCGGCTCGAAAAACGGAGGGGGTCCAACGACATGAACTTATATAGAGCCCAAAGTGTTTGAGATGTCCTATTTAAACCCAAACACTTGATGGGACCTGCATATTTAACTACACTGGGGTGGTCTCAGGCATCAATGGCATATGTTCCAGTCCAATGGAGTGTCTGGGAAATGCATCCGTCGAGACTAGCTGACTAGCTTTCCCCTGCTTGAGGACTGACTTCTTTGAGGAGTCTCTCCATCCTGACCAGCCCGTCTCACCAGCTCATACAAACATGCACGGGATGCATCAAGGAGCTATTCGCCATCCCACCTCGCACCAGAAAGACCAGCAACAATAGGGGAAGCCACTGCACCTGAGTCAGGTGCAGTCTGGGAAGAATGCATGTGAAAGACTCCTAGACCCACGTCACACGATGGCCTGAGTATGCTTTGGACATAGTTCATGGTTGGCAAGATTATTCTGTTAAAGTCTTTACCACCACTTTGTGGGCACCAAAACGATGTCCGCGACCAAGCAGCTTGTGCCATCAAAAGGAGGCAAAGTACGTTGAGGCTGAAGAAGAGCAAAGAGGCCTGCCTCTCCCAAAACGGCAGAAGCGCAACAAACAAGCGTTCTGCAATGCCAGACAAAACCTGTCCATTACGGAATGAACACGAGAAAAGAAAAACGATGCCAATGTTCCTCTGCACTGTCTAAGCTTGGGCAGATGGGCAACTCTTCCCGAACCTGGCCAAATCCAAAAGGCTCCTTCACCTTTTAGATCCTTTTAGGAGCCACTCAAAACTGCCAAAATGGGAAACAATTAAAAGCAATTTTTTACATTTTTTTACCTTGCGCCAGCGGGTTCCCCCCCAAAAAAAGGAACAGCCATCCAGATCGTCCATAGCTCAGATCGTCCATCGCTGGGATCAAAAAGCCTTCTCCATCGACAGGATCTCGGGTCTCTCATACCCAAACAAAGCGGGATCTCTTCCCCGTCGCCGAGCGGCGAGCGGCCCAGCGGTTTGGCGAGACACTCCGACACCTTCATGAAGCCAGCCTTGCATGACGCCACGGCGGAGGAAAAAAACCCGGATGAAAACATCTCACCAGCGCGAGGAGGCGAAACCCATCGTGATTCACCAGGATTGTGTTGGAGCCGAAGCTCCCGGAGCTGTGGGACGAAGACAACTACAACATCAATTCACCGACACAAAACGCGAAAATCCAAGCGGTGGATGGATTAGTTTGCCGAGGTGAGGGCACTGCGATCCACCAGAAACGGAGATAGAACAAGGAAAACAACAGGAGCTCTTCTTGTAGCTCTCATCTATAGCTCTTCCAAGTGTTGGGATATGTGATATGTCTCCAACAACAATCTACATCTCACCGAATCTCCAACCACCCGGTCTGAGGCGGCAGCTATCGCCAAAGGGTAGACCGTCTGAAGGAGGCTAATGGCCACCTGAGCATACGTGAGCGCCTGCGATTCGATGATTCGGGAGCATGGTATGAGCCATAGTGGTCCCCAAATTGGTTTCTGGACAGAACTGGTGGACATGGAGTGACTTATGGGTTGCCACCTGGTTGGGATTGGAATCAAGATGGTTCTGGTTCTGTTCCTCCTAAAGCTCCTTTCAACATGTATTGAAAACGGTTTCTATCTATTAGGGGCCACTATCGTCTCTCTCTCTCTCTCTCTCTGCAGAGTCTAGCTGCTGTCTCCTCACTTGGAATTCCTCTACTGCTTGAGGATGGGGACATGGGATCGTCTCGCTGTCTGCCGAGTCTACGCTGCGCAGGACGCCGTCGGACTAGGACATGATCTGTATATGTATAGATATAGTGACATTGCTTAAGTACATTGAACTCCGATCGATTTTCTTCCAAAAGGTCCATTTCGAGGTTGATGCTCTGTAGTTTAAACTATCGGAAAGGCACATGACCAAACAAGAACACCTGCCCAAACACTGGTCAAGTCTTCTGAAGGGGACGCCCAGGTCAATGTGGTTCGTGGTGTATGCGAGGCGTTTCCATTCCTGCTCCCATGCGTGTGCACTTGTTGGGGGCCATGCCTACTTGGATTGTCATCCTCATGACAATTGAAACAATAACAATCTATCTATATACAATATATAAATCTGTATATAATAAGTGGCCTAAAGGGTGAAGGATGGTTTCTGGTTCAAGTGCCCCCACCTTCCGCATAATTGCTTTGACTAAGCCAAGCTATTCATGATGCTTCACTTCCATGGCACTTCCTGCATAAATCCGATTGGTTCATATTGGTTCTTCCCGAAGAATGTTCTTCCAAAAACGGCGCCCACCTTGACTCCTGTTCGTGTGCCCAAAACTTATCCGGGCCGCTGGGGAAAAATGCTCGTCCTGGAGGTGAAGGGAATCGGCACACGATGCAGCACTTTGGATCAGTTTAGTCACTAGCTGCGGTTTTGAAGCCTGCACTAGTTGCTCGTAGTTTGATACACAGGTGAACATAGACAAAGGATAGATGCAAATGGATGAACATTGTCCCAAAGTCTGGGAAAAGGGTCTTTGAAGCAACCGTGGGCAACCATGGGCAACCTATTATTCACCTTCAACCGCTTTTCCACATCGCCGCCTCCCACCGCTTCTTCAAAAAGAGGGCTTCACTCCTTGAAAAAGGTCCCACCGGTCGTGAATCATTTTCTCTCTACAAAACAGGTGCTGCGTGGTGCTGCCATCCACGTCACCCTGGGAGTTACTCGCTATCTCGGATGTTTTCTCGCTCTCCGTCCTGGATGAAGAAAAGGTTGAAGAACTTCACCGTCATTCCCGCACCGATGGCGGTGATGAAGTCCGAGAGAGCCACAATGAAGGGCACATGCTTGGGCCCCAGAAAGCCCAGCCGTGGCCGCAGCCCGTCCCGCCCGCCCGGGCTCGTCACCTGCGCGCCAGGTGATAAACCCACACGCGCGGTAACCGAAACGAAACGAAGCTCTGCCGGTGTCCCAAGTTGAAGCTCCGGTCTTGGGGGTTTGGGACCGGGCCGTGCGACAAACCACTGGGTGTGGGACCCCCGAAGTGGTGCAACACCTCTACGCAGGACAAAGGGGGGCACCCCAAAGCCAAGCGAAACCGGACTTCGGTGGCTGTGGTGCCTGTCACAACGTCTGACTTGGGTGATAGTGGTCCCGTCTGGAATAGTGGTGCTGGCTGCTGGCTCACTTTAGCCCATCCTTCACCATCTGAATTACCATTCGAAGTCCCACTTCCCTTGAATCCACTCAGTGTCCAGTGGATTGTGCATCCAGATATGATCCACATCGCCCAGTTCTATCTTTCCCTTTCGACCCGTTCGGCATCTTTCACGCCTCTGCCTCTCCGCTGTGCCCGTTGGCTCTTTCCGCTGTGCCCGTTGGCTCAGCAACGCGAGCACAGGCAGTGTTGGAACCCCCAGTGGTGTTGGGGTCCCCGAAGACAAAGAGAGGGAGGATGGCCGGCACCGTGAGCAGCAAACCGATGACCATGATGATCTTGATCTGATAGGGCTCCCACTCGTCACCTCTCCCAGGGCGAGCGGCTGAGCGGGCTGGATGTGGGTTTAGCCTGATCCTGAATCGAAATCGGGGTCTACCGGCCTAGCCGTCTGGGCATTACAAACTGCGGCTCAAGGGACGGCGGTGGGGGTGGGTCCAGCACCTCTTGGGACCTGGTGACCAGTCCGTGACGTTGATTACTGAATGAAATTCAAAAAGTGCACCAAAGACAATGCCATGTTTTTTGGGTCAAAACTTGAATCAAAAAATTGCAACTCTTCTTCTCTTGCAGCTTGGAGGTCAAAACATTGTTAAAATCATCTAAAATCGCACCCCTGTGCAGGCGACTTACTCTTCAGCATACACAACCCGACAAAGCTGGGACTTCAAGAGAAATTATGTTCACTTGAGCAGCTCAGCTTTCATCGGCAGTCGGCACCATGACTTTCCAACCAGCTGGGCCACCTGGTCAGGCGCAGCAACGCAGCATCTCTGGTCAGGCGCCTTGTGTGGTAGGACGACCACGGAGCACACTCCGACTCAGCAAAAGAGACCAAGGAAGCATACTCCGACCCAGCCGTGTGCAAGAGGATATGCACTCTGATGAACACATCACATGGCTACGTGGATGGCATGCTTCCTGGGAAGACTTCTTTCCTCGACCAAGGTGGTGTCCACTTCCATGTCAGTGAGTGAGAGGGTAAGCCCTAAAGTCAATCGCCAGCGTTGAGCTCGACAGCTTCGTTGGGGCGCTCCAAGGTGCTCCAGGCTTGGTGCCTGGCAGCTTGGAATGAACTCTTCCTGGCGCACGCCACACACCCCGCCGTCGTTGGGCCAATGGCGGCCACCCGTGGGCGAAATCGCCACCCGTGCCCTCACATCCATGGTTCGCCACCTCCGCCTTACCAAGGCGTGGAGGCGGTCGGCCATCCCATGGTCCAAGAAAAGAGTCCATGGGGCGCGCCGCGTTCGGCACTTTCAGCTAGGAAACCAAACACCACTTCGAGCTTGCGCAAGTAGTGGTTGGTTGAATTGAAATCGACATTTGTTTTGAAGTCGTGTGTGGCAAAGAAACAGCATGAAACAGCTGTGGGTCATCCTTTCTAGAAGGCTGCGCTCTCCTCCTTCAATTGCCGAACGTGCAGACGACCGCCCCCACACAGTCACCACGACCAGTGCAGAAGAGCTCGTCAGGCCATTCTACAAGTACACAACAGTCATGTCATGCGCGCCTGGCCATGACGGAGCACGTTGGATTGCACATTCGCTACTTGAGACGTCATCCTGCTCACTAAAGAACGAGCTTACATGATACAAAGTTGCTTCGAAGGCTCCTCAAAGCAGCTCTATATTCTGGAAGCGCACTCCCATGTCAGGAATGCATCGGTACATATCGGCACTCACCCGAAGAAATGAGAAGCCACGACAAGCCAACTGAAGACTTGAGCCATACTGCTGAGCCATGTGGCATCGCAAAACCATCATGGCATGTCTATCCAGTTGCCCCCCGCAAATAGATAGATAATATTCTGTATTTTCCATATACGCTACATATATACATGTGTGTATATCATGAATTTATATACAAATATGCATGCATATAAATAAATAGATATATATCACACACATATATATATATATACATATGTGATTGTATACGTATGCAGCTCTGCCACTTGTGGGAACTCCATGGAACAAGGTGCCGACCGCTTAATTCCTGGCAGCCCCGTGGAGGCCCTCACGTGTGGGCTCGGCTCGCATCGATCCATATCGATCCCAAGCTACTGGCAGGGATCAAGAAAATTATAAGACCGGATGACCCCACATGTTAGCAACTTCGCACAGGAGGAAGTGTCGGGAGGAGGGAGGGGGAGGGAGGGAGTGGCGGTTGGTTGGTGGTTGTCGTTTGGAAGTGGATGGGGCTGGTGATTGTCGTTTGGTGGTTGTCTGACGGGTTGTCGCGTGTCCGCGTGTGTATGTAAATAGGTGGGTGTATGTATCACACGCAAGTCTCGACAAAGAATCCTTGTATTAGCGCTTCCAAAACATTTTTAAAAAACAACAGGTTTTATGCCCATTTAAAGAAACAGGCCCTCAAAAATATATAACCCTTTCAGAAGGGCAGGTGTGTCTGTGCTTGATATATGTTGCACATCTGTCTCACGCGACTGCATGAGATGTTGTGTGTATGTGGTGTGTGTGATGTTGTGTGATGTGGTGTGCTCTCGTGATGTTAGTTGGAAGCAGTTGGTTGGTGACAATTGGTTGCTGACAATTGGTTGGTGACAGTTGGTTGGTCGCAATTGATTGATGAGACTTGGTTGGTGACAATTGGTGGGCAGCAGAAATCATCCACCGGGCAGCACCAGGGCATACATCCAAACCCTGGAGAACACCAAAGTACCGCTCCCTCCACGCAAATCACAACAGCACAGACACAAATGCCACACAAATCACAGCGGAGAACCACCAGCCCCAGCCAGCACCAGCCAGCACCGGGGCGTACATCCGACCCCCTGGAGAAGACAAGTGGTGGATGGCAATTGGTTGGTAGCAATTGGTTGGTGACAATTAGTTGGTGACAATTGGTTAATTGGTTGGTAACAATTGGTGGGTAGCAAATGGTTGGTGGCAATTGGTGGGTAACAATTTGTCGACGACAATTGGTTGGTGACAATTGGTGGATGGCAATTGGTTGGTGACAATTGGTGGGTGGCAATTGGTAGGTGGCAATTGGTAGGTGACAAATTGGTTGGTGACAAGCGGTGGGTAGCAATTGGTTGATGACAATTGGTTGATGACAATTGGTTGGTGGCAATTTGTTGGTGGCAATTGGTTGGTAGCAATTGGTG